CTCCTCCTCCTCCTCCTCTTCCTCGTCCTGCTCCTCCTCCTCCTCCTCCTCCTCCTCCTTCTCGTCAACCTCCTCCAAGTCCTCCTCCTCAACCTCAACCTTCTCCTCAAACTCCTCCGTTTGCTCAACCTCCTCCTTTTCCTCCCCCTCCTCCTCCTCCTTCGGGCGGCATGCTGCCAAAGTTTTCACCGCTGGCCCCGTCCCCAGTCTCACGTTTGGGTCTGAGGTCCATGGGCTTTCGGATTTCGAATGGCACATATTGCAGGTCGCCGCCGCTAGTACTATGCAACCGTCTGCCAAGATGAGGTCACGGACCTGAGTGCTGATTTTATCCCAGGGCCCGACCTGGTACCCTGCGGTGGCGCCCATTGTCAGGTACTCCAAGGAGATCTGGGCCAACCGAACCAAGCTCTTTCACTTTGTTATCCCGTGGGCTGAGCTGATGGACGCTTGGAGAGGGGTTTTTGGTACCCCTGGGCCCAAAACCTGGCGCGGGGTCCGCGGGCCCCTGGGGGCCATGAAGTTGGCCTTGAAGAGGATTTCTTGGAGCATGCCCAACTACTGTACCCTGTTGGATGATTTTGGAACTGAGGTGTCACTCACAGTCACTCCCCCTACCCTTCTTAAGGCGCTTTTGAAGGCCGCTGTTCAGAGGACCCACGAGAGGTCCAGCGGCGCTGCCTTGCTTCCGCATGTTCCTGGAGCTCGAGTTTGCCATGACGTGGCGGCAGCCACACTCCGATCCAAGCAGGGCACGCCGTACCAGCGAGGTTGTGCCAAGGCTGTGGCTTGTAATGCCACGTGGACCAGGGCCAGAGCTGCCGAAGCAGGGTACGCTGTCAGCGCGGCCTGCGAGCTGTGTGGGGGCGCGCCCGATACCATGTTTCATCGGCTCTGGTTCTGCCCAGCGTGCCATGACAAGAGGCAGGCGGTGTTTGACAGTTTCAAGCCAACGTTTTCCCTCCTGTCCCCGCCCGACCTCGCCCCCGAGAACAACGAAGAGGACCGCTTACTGTTTACTCGTGGCCTGTTTCGACATCCAGGGGGTGTTTTTCCTTTCCCTGCTCGGGGTGATGTAGAATGTACTGGACTTGAGATCATCTGGGCCAATGATCGTTTGCCTAGATCGCTCACTATCTCTGGACATATCTTTGTGGACGGGTCCTGCGCTGCGCACCCTGTTAAAGAACTCTCCAGGGCTGGGTGGGGGATAGTGATGGTAGGTGACGGCGGTGAAGAGATATGTCGCATCAGTTGTCCGCTTTGGGCCCCCCATCTCCAGACAGCCCAAGGGGGAGAATTTTGGGCCTACGCTGTTGCTGCAATGCACGCCCTGCCAGGTAGTTTTATATACTCTGACTGTAAGAATGTGGTCGTCCAAGCCAATGAGCCACTGCTCAGGGCTTTGTCCTACCAGCGTGGGTATTCAGGGTTTTTGCTCCCCACCCACCGCAAGCTTTTAGAAAAGGGTTTTTACGGTCAAGGCGCATGTTGAAGAATCCAATGACCTCACTGAGTTGGAGCGGTTTTGGAAGCAAGGCAATGGCCTTGCAGATGTTGTCGCCAAAAGCTCGCTTGCCCGCCACCCGCAACCCGACCCCGGGGATGTGGTATGGCTTGAGCGATGCCTCTCTATCGCCCAGTGTGTTATGCGTCTTTCAACCGAGCTGATGCCAGAGTGGCCTCGGCTCAACCTGACTGGGGTCCCGCTCGCCCCCAAGCCCCCCAGGCCCGAGTTCGAGCCGAGGTCCCATCAGTGGACTCGTGTTTCCTCGTTTTGGCAGTGCATTGAATGTCTCAAGGTTGCTAAGGGCGTACCGCGGACGAACCCCGACGGCTCTCGGCCTGGAGGGCTCGACCCGCCCGCCCCTGGTAAGTGCCTTCGAGATTCCAAGCTGACGTCCGCGGTGCTCACTGCCCTCAGGCATAATTGCGTCGCGTTGCTATGCTCTGATGGTGCGGCCCTCACCATTTGTATGCGATGCTATGCCGAGTCCTCTCATGGGTAGCCACGCAATTTACTTCGACAGTGTGAGGGCCAACCGCAGAGTGCGGGTGCCAAGTCTGCCTGGATTTCTGTGGGGGCTGGGCGCCACCCCAAGCGCAAAGGTGTTTCAGTCGAGGTAGGCCCCTGATATGAAGACTTGGAGCAAGAGGAGCGGCCTCGACGTCTCACCGACCAAGAAAGGGAGTTGCGGCTAGCCAAGCTGGTGCGGAGGCTAGTCACCGCAGCAGGGGGGATATCAGTCCCAGCTGGCGTGGAGCTGGAGGTCGACCCTCCACAGTCTGCACTCCCACTGGGGCAGCAGCAAGATCGAGTCGTTGGCCCCTCGTCCGATCCGTCGTGCACCGTCGTTGCTGCTGCCCCAACTCCTCTCCCTCTAGAACCGCGTGACGCGGAAGAGGAAGCAGCCTTTTTCTTGCTTGGCCTGCCTGGTGAGAGTCCCTCCCAGCAGGCCATGCGGCAGGTGCCTGGGCCAGCCTCTTCGGCTGGGGCGTTTGGGCGTGATCGAGCCGCCTCAATCCTCGAAGAGGACGAGGCCTCGCTCGCCGTCGACGCTGCGCCACAGTCTGATGACTCAGACTACAGAGATGCAGCATGCGTCCTCTGCGCGTGTGTGCGTCTCGCCCTGACCTCATTCTTCTCTGGTCGTGGGCTTTGGGGGGCAGGCGGTGAGCCACAGGGGATCCTCCCCTCCTGTGGGAAATCGCCCCGTGGCTTTCGCGCCTGCCTTCCTTTTCACATTTTCACTGCTCGCTGGCCTGCTCCAGGCCAGATAGCAGGGGGCGACGACCGCTTGGCGTCGCTCTTGTTGCCACGGTCGATGTCGAAAAAATCCTCCTCCTCCTCCTCCTCCTCCTCCTCCTCCTCCCCTCCTCCCTCCCTCCCCTTCCTCCTCCCCCTCCTCCTACCTCCTCCTCCTCCTCAACCTCCTCCTCCGCAAACCTCCTCAACCTCCTCCTCCTCCTCAACCTTGTCCAAAAAGCCTCCTCCTCATCCTCCTCCTCCTCCTCCTCCTCCTCCTCTTTACCTCCCCTCCTCCTCCTCCTCCTCCTCCTCCTCTCCTCCTCCTCCTCCCCTCCTCCTCCTCCTCCCCCCCCTCCACCTCCTCCTCCTCCTCCTCCTCCTCCCCCCTCCTCCTCCTCCACCTCCTCCTCCTCTCCGAACCTTCCTTCCTCTCCATTCTCGACCTTCTCCTCAACCTCCTCCTTCTGCTCAACTCCTCCTCCTCCTCCTCCTCCTCCACCTCCTCCTCCTCCCCCTCCGCCTCCCCCCTCTTTCACTCCCTCCTCCTCCTCCTCCTCCTCCCCCCCTCCTCCTCAACCTCCTCCTCTTCCTCAACTTTCTCCAAATCTCCTCCTCTCATTCTCGACCTTCCTCCTCCTCCTCTCCTCTTTCACCTCCTCCTCCTCCTCCACCTCCTCCTCCTCCACCTTTTTTCTCCTCCTCCTCCTTCTTTTCAACCTCCTCCTCCTCCTCCTCAACCTCCTCCAAATCCTTCTCCCCCTCATCGTCAACCTTCTCCTCAACCTCCTCTTTCTCCTCAACCTCCTCCTCCTCCTCCTCTCCTTCTCCTCCTCTCCCTCCTCCTCCTCCTCCTCCTCAACCTCTTCCTCCTGCTCAACCTTCTCCAAATCCTCCTCCTCATTCTCGACCTTCTCCTCAACCTCCTCCTCCCCTTTAAAATCCTCCTCCTCCTCTTCCTCCTCTTCCCCTCTCCCTGTGCCCCTGATCTAGCTCTTAGATCCCGCTATTTCAGGCGCTCGCCAGTCAGTCAGTCAGTCGGTCAGTCCTCCTCCTCCTCCTCCTCCTCCTCCTCCTCCTCCTCCTCGTCCTCCTCCTCCTCCTCCTCCTCCTCCTCCTCCTCCTCCTCCTTCTCCTCCTCCTCCTCCTCCCCCTCCTCCTCCCCTCGCTCGCTGCTAAGAGTTTTCATCGTCTCTCAGAGGTGGTCTTCGTGGGCCCCCTGCCCGCGCAGCGGCCGCGCTTTTCGCTGTGGGCCCTCGGGGCCTCGCTGACGCGCGCCGGGGTCCTGGAGCTCTCGGCGGGCGGGAGCCGAGCGGCGCGCCAAGGGGGGGAGGTCGGGGGCCTTGAGACGGGGGTCAGCCAGGGCGCCGGATCTTGCAGGATCCTGCAGGGTCAGGGTCGCATTGACCCAGGTTTGGGCGCAGGATCCTGCAGGATCTTGCAGGATCCTTCGCACTGGCCTGGGTTGGGTGCAGGATCTTGCATTATCTCGCAGGATTTGGCAAGACCCGGGTCAGAAGATCCCTGGGGAGGGCGCGGCGAAGGGGGAAATATAGGAGAATCCAAGGAGAACACGAAACACTGTCAAACCATTTTAGAACATACTCAAATCAATATTTGACACATCGTCACCCATTTTAACCCTGGGAAGCAATCAGTAAACCCCCCTCCCCCCCCCTCATCAGAGGAAATTATAACGCTCCCGGCACCGGGGCCGGGGCGGAAGCGATATCCCCCGCAGGTCACCAGAGGTCCGCGGAGGGGAGGTCCCCGGAGGTTCCCAGGAGGCACCCAGAAAGGCCTCCACAAGCCTCTGAACGCCCGGTCTCCTTGGGCCCTGCTTTCAAGCCGCAATTGTTGTCGCTTCCTGTGATTCGGTGCGTTTCTGTGAGATTCCTCAGATTCCTTTGATACTCCGATTGGCTTCTTTTGAGATTCCTTGCCGTTTCCATTGTAATTCTTTTGGGACTCCTTTGAGACTTCTCCTGTGTTCCTTTGATGTTATTCTGGGGGTCCCTTGAGGTTCCGGTCATATCCCTTTGATGCCCCATTGCTTAAGGGAGCATCACATCGACATCCGGGGCCGGTGGATTATTTCATTTTCAATAAATGTGCTAACATATCGCGGGGGGGTTCGCGGAATCCGTTTGCGATATCTCTCCGTGGACTCTCCCATAGGACCCCTGACATAATCAATTTCTTTAGTTCGGTCGCAATAGGGACTGCTTATGTCCACGCGAGCCCGCGTTTTCCAAATTCCTTAGATACCTTCGTGGTTCGTTTGAGCTGCCGCTGAGATGCCTTTGCGATTTTTTTGGTCTCCTTTGAGATTGCTTTGAACTTCCATTGGTTCCTTTGATATTATGCGTGGGATTCCTTGTGATATTCTTATGGGGTTCCTTTGGGGGTCCTTTCAAGTTCCTGTGGCATTCCTTCGACAATCCCTGAAGGGAGCATCACATCGACCTCCGGTGCCTGTGGATTATCTGATTTTCAATGGGTGTGCTAACATATCGCGGGGGGGTTCGCGGAATCCGTCTGCGATATCCCTCCGTGGACTCTCCCATAGGACCCCCTGGAAAAAAAATCCTTATTGCGGTCGCAATGGGGTTTGCCTATGTCCACGCGAGCCCGCGTTTTCCAGATTCCTTAGATTCCTTCGTGGTTCGTTTTAGCTGCCGCTGAGATCCCTTTGCGATTTCTGTGGGGTTCCTTCTGAGATTATTTTGAATTTCCAATCGGGTTCCTTTGAGATTCTTCGTGGGCTTCCTTCTGAGATTCCTCTGGGATTCCTTTGGGGGGTCCTTTCAAGTTTTTGTGGCATTCCTTCGATTGGGCTCCTCGCGGATTCCTGCGACGTCCTATGGTTCCGTACGTTTTTCTATGGCTTCGATTTCATTGCTTGTCATGTTTGATTTACCTTCGATTTCCGATGCGCGTCAGTTTCCCAGTGTTCTAGCAAGGCGGGCGCCCATTGGCAAGCGTTCGTGCGCATTGGTTCTTCAGGCTGTCGCCTCGCGTTGCCGCCAGCTTCGGGCCCGGGGGGCGCAAATTAATTAATTGTTTCATTTTATTTTATGTACTAACGATATCGCCGGAGGGCGCCGCCCAAAATAATTATTTATATTTTATTTTCTGTGCTAACGATATCGCCGGGGGGTTTACTGTTTGCTTCCCGGGGTTATTCTTATGATCTTTTGAAATTCTTGACGCTTCGCGTATCCCCACCAGTTCGCGCCGCCTTCTTTGTCCCGGTGTCACTCGCCATTGGCTGCGCACGAGCACCCTGGGTACATATTTGGCATTGGGTGTGGTCCATCCTGCTCGGTTGCATTGCTATGTATTCACAGGTCTTGCTATGCTATGCATGGACCACGGTGCACATGATTGCTCCTGGGACGCAGGTTTACCTACCTTTGAGCGGTCATTACTTGATCTGTCGGTGTGCGACGCTTCGGCTGGCGCCTCTTCAGATTTCGCTTCATTTTGGCAGCGCGTGTCAGGTTTGGCTATTTTTGTGCTCCCTGGGTTTCCCTGGGTCACCTTGCAGCTCTGCCCTGGGTTCAGCTCTCCCTGGGATCAGCCTCACCCTCGCCGCAGTTGCTGCTTGCTGCATCCGGCGCCGCCGCGGCCGCCTAGTCGCGCGCGTTAGCCGTCGGTAATTTAAGCCGGTCGCGGCCCGACCTACTTCGCCCGCCGCTGGCGCGTTCGCCTGCGGCCATAAAAACAAAGTATCCCGACCAGCCCATCCAGAAACGACGCCCAGGCGAGTAGAGGTGATCATGGAAGCGGGGCAGCATACAGAGGAACAAGGGGCTGGGGAGGCCGTCGTACCCCAAGGGGGGGGGGATGGAGGAGGAGTCGGAGGCGGAAGAGGAGGATGATGAGGGTGGGGAGGGAGGAATGAGGAGGAGGAGGAATAGGCGGATGATGATGTTGATGTTGATATTGATGATGCTGATGATGACGATGGTGGTGGTGGTCTTGACGATGGTGATGGTGATGGTGATGGTGATGGTGATGGTGATGGTGATGGTGATGATGATGATGATGATGATGATGATGATGCTGATGATGATGATGATGATGATGATGATGATGATGATGATGATGATGATGGTGATGGTGATGATGAGGGGGAGGAGGAGGAGGAGAAGGGCGATCAGAAGAGTCAAAGGCCTCTTGAATGCCTCGCGGAGTCTCTTGGGATGTCTCTTGGGATACTCTTTGAGGTCTCTTGGGGCGTCTTGGGGGCCTCTTGGCGGTCCCGGGAGCTTCTTGGACCGTCTTGGGTGCCTCGTGGGAGCCTCTTGGGGCCTCTTGGGGGCCTCTTGGGGGTATTTTGGGGAACTCTTGGAGGCCTCTTGGGGCCTCCTGGTCGCCTCTTGGGGCTTCCTGGGCGCCTCTTGAAGCCCTCTTGGGAGCCTTGGGAGCGCTCTTGGGGCCATTTTGGTGATCGATCAAAGGAAGGGGGTCCCTCAATTAGCCTCCCCCCTCGGGAGCCTGCAAAATCGGCCAAAACCCTAGTAAAACCAATGATTTTGGCTTCCTCGCCAAAGCCGTTTTGGACGCTCTAACTACCAGCGGCCCCCCCGTCCAAGTCCAGGGGAGGGATTAGGGGGAGGGGTAAACCCCTCCCCGAAGGGGAAGAAGGAGTGGTGGAAGAGGAAATTCCCTAAACCACTTACGCCCAGAGGGCTGGTGGGATTATTCCTCCTGTAGAGGGACGCGCCAAGGAGTGAGGGTGCTTGCGGCGAAGGTCAAATCGGGCCTGCCCCTCTACAGGAGGAAGATTTAGAAATGGTCAAACATATTATGGGGACGACTTGTTTTGATTATTCTTTGGATCTATTGGAATACTTTCTGGGGAGTAAGTCTGCCTGCAGGGGGGCACGCCGGACCTAAGGCGAAGGGGGAAGTCAGAGAGGCCCGACGCTCCCCAAAAGTTGCAGCGGCGGGATGTTGGCAGCGAGCCATAACAAATAACAAAGACATTCGAAACTAGTCAAATATTAGTCGAAACATCGCCCCCTGACTATTTTATGACTCTTTCTGAATATTCCTCCTGCAGCGGGACATGCCCGACATAACCCTACCCAGAGCTCCGACGCTCCCAAAAGATTGCAGCGGCGGGATGTTGGCAGTTTTGGGCCTCCGGGGGGCCCTCGCCGGGCCTCGGGAGCGTCAGAAAACAGCTCAGGACGATAAACCGGCCCCAGGGAAGTGGTCTGGACCTTTGGGGACCACGCATCGAAACAATTGGAGCAGCCGGCCCCGATGTCTGGGGGTCCTGAGGGAAACGGGCCCTGAGGTTTTTCGCTGTCTTCGGGCTCTAAGGCCATGGGGATTTCCGAGCCTTCTGATAAGGCCCGCCCGTCCTCACTTCCTCTCCCCCTGACCTCGCCGCCGAGGTTCCCAGGTTTCGGGACTCGTTTTCCTGAGGACTCGCTTCTCCCGTGCTGAGATGCGCAGAATCGAGGAGTGACAAGAACGGACGCCCCTTGGCGGCGGCTCTCGCGCCCCCTCTCGAGTAGATCTGATTTCTCCCACGACTGATTCGTTCGACGGGTCTACGAACAGATGCGTCGAATGCTCGTAGACCTGCAAACAAACACTTGACGCACCTTTTGCAGATCCGACGAATAGTTCAACTTTGGGGTACATCGATCTTGTCGTCGATCCCCCTTCTCGAGGCTTAGTTGACCAGAAGATCCGCGTTGACCTCCGGAAGTTTACGCGGAACGTGCTGCGACCGTCGTGTTGTTCCACCATGTCGGGGGGCTCGGAGGCTCAAGCGGGCCTCTGGGAAGGCGGGAGGGCCTCGGAAGCTCCGCTGCGTGTCTCGCCCCACCCACAAGGAGCCTGGTGGCGCGCGTGCGCCTGGCGGGCCCTTGGCGGGGCCCCCTGGACCTGGCCGTCGGGTCCGCGACGGCGGGGGCTGGGGACGTGGACTTCGCGGGCGACGTCTTCGAGGCCCCGGGGCGGCCCAGCCCGCAGCCCACCCGCCAGAGCACCCTGAGATCCGACGTTTTAAAAAACCTGCAACACCGCAAAAGATCACGGCCAGACCCCCGGACCCCATCTTTCTGCGTCACTTTTCGAGCCGGATCGATCTGTGAGGGTCCCCAGGCTCGACATGGAGCGAAAACGCCCGGCTCGAAAAAATGGAGTCGCCCGGATCTCAAGGCATGTCCACCGCTTCGGCGTCGTGCCCCACGGGACCTGCCTGCTGCCTCCGCCCGGCCCCCCTTCCGCCTGCCCACCCCGCCCAGCCGGCCCCGCCCTCCCGCCTGCGAGCTCGTCGTCGTCGTCTGCCCGCCTCTCCCCTCCTCTTCCCCCTCCGCCGGGCAGCAGGACCAGCGTGGCGGCTCGTACCCAGACATCCGGCTGCTCCAATTTTTTCGATGCGCGGGCCCTGGAGGTCTAGACCGCTTCCCTGGGGCTGGTTATTCGTCCCGAGCCGTTCTCTGACGCTCCCGAGGCCCGGCGAGGGCCCCTGGTCCTTTTGGAGGCCCGGAACTGCCAACACCCGCCGCTTCACTGTTTTGGGAGCGTCGGATCTCTGGGTAGGGCCCTGACGGTCTTCCGCACGAGATGCCCGTGCCTGGCACGCCAACTGCCAACGCCCTTGGGGCCTCGAGGGCCTCTCGAGGAGTGGCGGGCGAGGGCCGGCGAGCATCCACAGCCACCGCTGCCCAGAGGTTTCCAAGGCAGGGCTCCGACAGTTGTGAGTATCGTTAAGTCGGGGACGTCCCTCCACAGGAGGAATATTCCAAAATAGTCCAAAAATAATACGGGGACGATTTTTCGACCATTTTTGATTATGTTCGAGCATTTTTTGACTATTGTTTCGTTTTCCTCAAAAATCCTCCTGTAGGAGGACACGCCCGAACTAAGAGTATTGGCATCTCGTCCGAAAGCAGTATTCGAAAAATGAAGAGCGCCATCAACATAAACTTTTGGCGCTCCGCGCGGATTTCTTCCCTCACTGGCAGTTCGACCATGCCAGACTGAGGGTGCCGCTGTGTCCTGTCTATCCCGACGCATGGATCGCATAAACATAAACTTTCGGAGCTCCGCGCGTATTTCGTGGATCGGCGCTGGGCCCCACCTGGCGGCGCCTCTGGCGCCGCACCTGGTGCGCTCCGCGCGCCAGGGAGGGGGCGTAGCGCAGATCCAAGAAATCCGCGCGGAGCGCCAACAGTTTATGTTTATGTTTTTTGTCGTTTTTTCGTTTTGTTGCTGTTTTTGTTTTGTGCTCCTCCTAAGCATCTGAGAAGTACCACCAAATCTAGAAAACATCCACGATCCGATCTGGTGCAGCTTCCCACAGATCCGACGCGCCAGCACATCGGGAGCGGCGGGATTTTGCAGTTCTGGGCCTCCAGGGGCCAGGGGCCCTCGCCGGGCCTCGGGAGCGTCAGAAAACGACCCGGGAGGGAAAAGCGGCCCTGGGCCAGTGGCCTTTGGACCTCTGGGGCCCACGCGTCGACCAAGTGTGGAGCAGCCGCCTGCCTGAGCTGGTGCGGATCTTGCAGTCGGCCCTGACTGGCAGGTCGAGCATGCCAAAGCGAGGGGAGAAGAAAGAACGGTACAACTTGTACCGTACAAGCATACATCTTCGGAGCTTCGCGCGGATTTCTTGGATCTGCGCTGGGGCCCCCTGGCGGCGCCTCCGGCGCCGCCCCTGGCGCGCTCCGCGCGCCAGGGAAGGGGGTCCAGCGCAGATCCAAGAATTCTGCGCGGAGCGCCACAGCTTTCTGTTTATGGCATGTTTTCTTCTTCCGTTTGTGTCCTGTCTATCCCGACCCATGCAACCCGCATGTCCTCTGGTGTTCTGGGGCCACGTCGCCGTCGGAAGAGTGGTGTCCTCGCGGGTCTCCTGTCCCATCAAAGTCCGCTGGTAGGTGCACCCTCCTCGTCAGCGCCCTGTTCTCTCCCCTCTTCCTGCACCTCGTTGGTTTCTCGGGGGCCTCTTCGAAATCTCGGCTGGGCCTCTGGTGGCCATCTCGAAGGGTTCACGGTGGGCCCTTGGAGGCCCCTCGGGGGTCTCGGGGCCGTCTTGGGCGCGATGGTTTCTGCCGAGATCTCGGAGGCGGCTGGGCAGATCTTGGAGCACTCTTGGGGCGGTCTTGGCCGTCTTTCTGAGGACGTCTTGGGGCATTCTCTGGACCGTCTTGGCTGTTTGGGAGGCCTTCTGGCGCTCTCTAAGCCTATCCAAGGCGATCTCGAGCCAAATAGCATCTGAAGCAACACATGTAGATTTTGTCCTCCAGGTGTCTCCAATAGGCCCCGATGGAAGTCAGGCGTTTCTTGAAGCCCCCATGAACCTCAATTACTTGTGTCTTAGACTTCTGGGGGCCTGTTGCGGAGTATAGCCTTTGGGAGTTCGTTGGGCGTTCTTTGGATAACCTTAGGTCTCTTGCAGCCGTTTTGGTGTGGTCTTTGGCCGACAACGCCAGGGAGCAAAATGGGTGAAGGACCATTTTCTGTGCTCAGTCGCTTCGAGGGGGAGTCGGCCTTGGAGGACTATCAAAATCCCGGCCAGATAGCCAGCAAGCATTCCAGCTTTCCGCTACGCGCAGGCGCGGTGGCGTCTTGACGAGCGTGTTCGATAATGGTCGCATGAGTCTTTGGATCACATGTGCCCCTGGTCTAGCTCGTAGATCCCGCCATTTCAGGCGCTCGCCAGTCATTCAGTCAGTCGGTCAGTCCTCCTCCTCCTCCTCCTCCTCCTCCTCTTCCTCCTCCTCCTCCTCCTCCCTGCTCTTCTCTCCGCCACCCTCCTCACCCCGATCCATCCAGCCACCGCGACGTGGTCGTGGACAGGAGGCCAAGGCTGGGCCTCTCAGGGGCCTCTGCATGGCCTCTTGAGGGCCGCTTGACGGCCGTCTCTTTGCTTCTTGGGGCTTCTTTGGCGGCCTCTCCGGTGTCTCCTGGCGGCATCTTCGGCGGCGTCGGGGGTCTCCTTGGGGCCTGCTGGGCGTCTGCGGAACAATGTGGGCTGGGGGGCTCCAAACGGCAGTTTGAGATTTCCCGCTTGAACCCTTCTTGGGGGCCTCTCGGGGGCATCTTGGCCTTTTTGGGGTCCCTGGCGGTTCTCTGGGGCGGGTCTTGGGGACTTCGTGGGCCCTCTTGGAAGCTCCTAGGCTTGAAGTCCAGCATGCGGAAGTCTGTTCGCGTTTGTATCGTATTGGGAGCGCAGGGATTGCCCGGGGGTTGCGTTGTGCTGTCTTCCCGTTGTCTCTTCCCTCCTCCCCCGCAGCCTTCAGGAGGGGAAAAAAGCACAGGCACAATCAATTGGCGACTCCCAGGACGGTGCGGGAAGCTATGCGAAGTGGGGGGGAAGACGGAACTCTAGAAAATATGTAGAAATATAGTGAATCTGGGGATTTGTGTATTTTTATTGCGAAGGCCTTACGGCCGGTGCCGCCGACCCTGAATGGCGACGACGACGACGACGACGACGACGACGACGACGACGACGACGACGACGACGACGAGCGCTCTTGGGGGCCTCTTCGGAGTAGTGTGTGGGCCTCTTGGGAAGCTCTCAGGGGCCGCTTGGAAGCCTCGTGGGGGCCTCTTGGGGCTTCCTGGGGGTCTCTTGGAGGGGGCCTGGGACGTCTTGGAGGCTTCTTGGACGGTCTTGGGGCTATCGTGGGCGTTTTCGGCCGATCTTTGGGCGACTCGGGGCCCTCTTGGGCCGTCTCGGGGGCCATCTTGGGCATTCGGACCTCATTTGGAGTGTTTTCGAGGTTTCTAGGCCGCCCGAGGGAAAACGAATCTGCCCCCCCACCCCCCCCCACCCCCCCGGGACCCCCCCCGGGACCCCCCCCCCTGGGGAAGGGATCGAAGGGAAGGGGCTTCCCTTCGACTCGATTACGACACTGCTAGATTTTTCTCTCGCTCACGAGCTTGAGAAGGAAGCTGCAGGGAAAGGGGACGACGGAGGCGACGACCGACGGAGACGACGACTCGAACAGCCAAGCCCCTCGCACACGCCGACAGGGTCGGCGGATTTGTACGCAGCACTTGAGGATGGTGAGTTTGATGCGCCGTCGACGGCAACACCACACCGCTCTCCCTCCGGGACTTCGCCTCCGGCTCCTGTCCACGGTGTACCGTTTCCTGTGCAAGTTCCTCAGCACCGCCTGCACCCCGCGCCCTCCGGCCGCCTGAGGCCCCGCCCGCCCGCGCTCTGTCTCCCCTATTAGTGCTTTGCGCGGCCCGCCTAGCTCTTAACCGGAAGAGGCTCGCTCTCGACCCGCAGAACAAACAAGTGTATTATTATTTGTGTGTCCCTGGGCCCCTTCAAGCCTTCTGGCTCAGAGTCGGCTGCTGTCGCGGGGGAAGCCCCCTGAACTCGAGCGCCCCGCTTTCCGACCTGTCCGCGAGCTTGGACGGGGCCCAACGCTGCGTTGTCCTTAAGTCGGGCCTGTCCTTCTACAGGAGGAATATTCGGAAACAATCAGAAATGGTCTGGGGGCTATGTTTGATTTTTGTTTGAAGTTGTTTTGGTTACTTTGTATCTTTCGTCCAGGATCCCCCTGTAGGGGGACACGCCCGACCTAAGCGTTGTCCTGGTTTCCCCCAGCATCGCGGAAGGACAGGACCGGGATGCAGAGAGAGGCGCCGTGGCTTTCGGCTCGAGGCCGCGGCCGGTGCTCTTTCAGAGGCCTCGGCGGCTCTCCAGTCGCCCGCCCCGCCGGGGCGCCACGCGGAATCGACGCCCCCGCTCGGGCCGATCGTGGCCAGAGGGAGGATCGTCAGAGGCAGACGAGGTACCGATACCGCTACCCTTGCCCCGTTTTCCCCCTTTTGGCCCTCCTGGGAGGCCCTCGTCGCCACCGCTGGATTCGCTTCGAAATCCTTGGTCTGAACGCACCCCAGCAGAGGTCTGGGGAGTAGCGGTATGGGTACCTTTTGGCTTCCTCAGATAGGGGGTCATGCCCCCCTCGGCAAGGGACGAGGCCGCTATGCCAGGCCGCACACGCCGCCAGGACGCACGCTTCACGACGGAGGCGACGGGGGCGGCAGAGGGGGCATGCCGGGAAACCGGCTCGCCGTCGCCCCAGAGGCAGTACAGCGGGCGGAGGCGGCAGCGCAACTCCGCAGAGAGGAAGGCCCCCGAGCGACGTGCGATGATCCACCAGGCCACGCCGAGAGCGGCCTGTCTGCGAGCGTGCTGGGCTGTTGCCAGGACGGCGCGAACCACCAGGACCGCGGGGGACAAGCAAAAACCCGCCACCGCAGACATGTACGGGCGGCCAGGCGAGGCTCGCGTGCGACGGAGCCGCCCGCTGGTTCAGCAGCGAGCAAGGGTTGTGCGGGGACAAAGACGTAAGAGTGACCCTTCGCTGGCGTGATCTTCGGTGCGGGCCCAACGCGATGCGATGGTAGCGTTTTGTGCGCTTGTCGTTGGCCCCCCCGCGGCCCCCAGAAAGCCACGCACCAAATGCCACTCTTACCCAGGGTCACTATTGCGTGTAGCCGAGCGAAGGCAAGCCAGGGAGCGAACCCTGCATCGGGCAGGCGAGCCAGCGGCGGGGACCGGCGCGCTGGCACTCGAGCGCCCGCCGCTGCCGTGGGCACCCCCGTCGGGGGGGGGGGCCCAGCACGTGTGGATTTTTCCCTGCGAGGACCTCGAGGAGCACCTTGAACCATCCTGCATCAAAAAAAAAACAAACGCACGACGCCAACGAGAATGCGCGGGGAATGGGCGTCCGAGCGATGGCAGGGGGGGGGCGAAGGCAAGAAAGAGGGCGATCCCTGCATCGGGCAGGCCAGCCAGCGGGGGGGATCGGCGCGCTGGCGGCCGAGCGCCCGCCCATGCCGTGGGCACCCCCGTCGGTGGGGGGGCGAAGGCAAGCAAGTGGGCGAGCCCTGCATCGGGCAGACCAGCCAGGGCGCGGGCCGGCGCGCCGGCAGCCGAGCGCGCCCGCCGCTGTGCCGCGGGGCACGCCCGCAGAGGCCCCAGCGGAGCGCGGCCGCAGGAGCGGGTCAGGCGGCGGGCCCGCTGGAGCACCCGCACGCGCCCGCGCTGCCCACTGCGGCGAGCGGGTCTGATTGTGCGAATGCGGGAAGGCGAGGTGCAAGGCTCTGCCGCGCGCAGAGGGGGGGGGGCAGGGGGAGGCGGGAAGGCTGCTTAGAAAGCGCCCCTGCTTCTCAGAAGGCGCGGGTCTCGTCTGGAGATGAGGAGGGAGAAAGAGGAGAGACGTCACAAAGCTACCCGCGGGCAATCTCCGCCTTCCGGATTAGCTGCGAACGCAAACAACTTGCCAGCTGAGATGCTCGAAACCTGAGGGAGGCGGGGAAGCGACACAAACTTGTTGCCAGGCTGCACAGCTTGTGGGGGGACTCCTTGAGGAGTGCATTACCTCATGACGAGGGTTGCTCCCTGGGGGCGGGTCTCACCGGGATACTCCGTCCAAAGCGCGCTCGGAAACCTGTCGTGATCCTTTCCTGGGCTGCAATGGAACAGGACAGCATGCAGAGCGTGTTGATATCCAGGTACGCCCCGTCCCCACGTGCTACTGTTTTCGATGCATCGGCCAGCGGAGCGTCCTCCAGGGCGTCGGCGAGACTGGGTCCCAGCTTCGCTCGTTCCGGATGCCCGGGCCGGAGCCCGGTTTCAGCGATACCTCCGCGTTCGCGACAGAGCGCGGGTCCCTTCTGCTGCCTTGCACCAAGCAGCTTGCGCGCCAATTGTGGAGCGGCGCAAGAAAACGGTGTCGAGAGCGGATGAGGAGGAGGAGGAGGAGGAGGCGGAGGAGGATGAGCCGGAGGAGGAGGGGGAGGAGGAGATCTTCTTTGGGGCGCGAGAGAGGTGCACCTTTCCCCCCCCCCCCCGCACTGATCGCCCCACCCATTCTTAAGTCGGGCCTGTCCCTCTACAGGAGGAGTACTCAGAGATAGTAGAACAATAGTCTGGGTACGATGTTTCTGTTTTTTTGGCTAATCTTGTCATTTTGTTTTTCTTGATGTCCCGTCCAGAATCCGCCTGTAGGGGGACATGCCCGACCTAAACCCATTCCTTCACGCCCAACCTGTGCGCCCTCTCCAGTCGGCCTCGGCTGCACTCCTCCCCGCCGCGGTCTGCGGCGGCCCGCGGCGAAGGCGCGCGTCTGGCCCGGCCTGGCCGCGGACGCCGCGGCGCTCTCCGGCGGCGCCGGCGGCCTGCCGGCCCCGCCCTTCGGGTGGCTCCTGGGGGGCAGGGTTCGGGGCGGACGAGTAAGGGGCTGCGCACGCAAGAGGCCCCTAGACGGCGCAACGGCCGAGAAGATGGTAGTGTAGAAGGCCAAGGGGGACTCATGCAGACGACGTGTCCGGGCCGAGCGCAAGCGCGCTGGAACGCAACGAAACCGCCGGAAGCTTGAAGCGGATCTCTATCCCTTTGTGAGTCGCGCAAGAAAAAACACGGGGTCGTCTGCGCCAACATTGGCGCGTGAGCTGCCCGCGTAGTTAAGCTCGCGCGCAGGCGCCCTCGTTCCCCATGTAACGTGCCGCGCTGGCGGCCCGCGTAAGTCGCCGCGAAAGGTAGCTACCTCTGGAGGTAAGCCGCCGCCATGTTTGGCAGCAGCTTACCTCTAGGTTTCTCCGATGGGGTCCGAGCAGATGGACTCCGACCCCATGTAGGAGGCCTCTATTACCTCGGTGCCAGTCTCAAGGAAGCTCCTGGGGGCACGCCCTTGAGTTTGTCATCGCCTTGGGCCTGCCGATCTCAGGGGCAGGGACGAGTTCGAGGCCGGTTGAAAAGAGGTTCGAGGTCTGGTTACGGGACGTGAAAACGACCACAGCCACTGTTTTTTTCTTTTGTTGCCGCCTTCCAACCAGCAGGAACAAATCAGTGGCCGTGGTCATTTTCGCTACGCTTGGCGCCCGGGAGATGACCACAACCACTGCTTCTTTTTCGGCCGGCTGGAAGGCGGCGCAAACACAGATCGGGGGCCACAGGCGAACCCTACCCCTACCCCCCACGATTTTTGAGGGGCCCGAGCGGAGCGAACCCCACCCTCCCCCTCAGAAATCGTGGGGGGTAGGGGTAGGCTTCGCTTGTGGCCACCTCAAAGAAGCAGCGGCTGTGGCCATCCTCCCGTCCCGCGCTGGTGGCCTTCGGCCTCGGCATGCGCTCCGGGCCTGCGCCTGGCCATCCGCTTTCCGGGGCAGCCCGCATCGTCCCGCTCGGCCGGCGGCGGCTCGCGAGGCACGACCCCGAGTCGGGGCTCACGAGACGGCGGTCAACAGGGGAACAGAAAGTGGCATAAACATAACAACTCTCAGAGCGTGAAATACCTACCCCGCTTTCGCTTCCAGGCTCCAGGCAAAACCAAGTCATACCACGCGCCTCCTCGTCAAGCGGCCTGACCAGTACAGGCTGCAATTTGGCATCGTTTGGTATCTCTTGGAAGCGAGGGTGGTCAAAAGCGAGGTAGGTTTGTTTCCCCCCTAAACTCGGAGGTCTGCGCGAATTTCTCGGATCGGCGCTGGGGCCCCCCGGCGGCGCCTCCAGCGCCGCCCCTGGCGCGCTCCGCGCGCCAGGGAGGGGGGTCCAGCGCCGATCCGAGAAATCCTCGCGGACCTCCGAGTGTTTATGTTTATGCCATTTTTATTCATCTAGTCAAGGCAAACGGGGGTCAGCCAGAGCGCCCGATCTTGCAGGATCCCGCAGGGCCAGCGCCGCATCGACCCAGGCCTGGGTGCAGGATCCTGCAGGATCTTGCAGGATCCTTCGCGTTGGCCCGGGTTTGGGGGCAGGATCTTGCAGGATTTTGCAGGATTTGGCAAGGCCTGACTGACCCGGGTCTGGATTGACCCGGGTCAGAAGATCTCCGACCAAAAGCGAGAAGGCGAGGGTCATTCGGAGGGGAGATAGGCAAGGGGGCGAGGGTACGCAGTCTGCGGCAGGCAGCCGGTGTCGACTCCGCCGCCTGGCGCCCCTCGTCGATCCACGTCCACCGCCTGGACCTCGACAGGCGGCGGATATGGATGGGCTTAAGTCGGGCCTGTCCCTCTACAGGAGGAGAATCCGAAAAAATGGTAAAACAAAATAGTACGGGGACGAATGTTGGATTCAAGATATATATGTTTGAGCATTTTTGCGTATTTACTCGCCCAAATCCGCCTGTAGGAGGACACGCCCGACCTAAGGATAGGCGGCCCCGCCTGTCACCGAGCGCGTTCCACTGCTCGCAAAGTGCCTACTCGCAAGCGTCAGCAAAAGCGAGCGTTGTTCAGTGCAGTGGAGCCTGTCTGCCTCGACGCAACGGATCCAGGCCGTTTGCGAGTAGCTACGTACCGAGTGGTGGAGCGCGCCTGTCTACTGGGGCCCAAACGTATCCATGTCCGCCGGCCTTTTGTCCTCCCAGCGGTAGGACAGGACCAGAAGAAGCCGCGCATAGGCGGCGCATCGGCAGAGCATGACAGCCTACAAACGGCCAGGACAATTCACGCGAACTTTTGGTAGGTGGATCTCTCAAGCTCTCCGCAGCCTCTGGCGGTGTGCGTTGCGACCAGGGCAAAAAAGACCAGAAGAAACCGCGCATAGGCGGCGCATCGGCAGAGCATGACAGCCTACAAACGGCCAGGACAAGTCACGCGAAGAAAATTCCGAGCGGAAGGGAAAGCGCCGGAACGCGGCCTCTGCACATTTTAGTGGTGGGCGGCTGTGGGAATTTCACAAGTCGGCCACGCGCAGAGGGGTGTGGGGGGAGGGGGGATGGCTTCTTAGAAGCACCCCTGCTTCTTAGAAGGCGCGGGCCTTACCTATAGATGTGAGGCCGGCGCCTTCTAAGAAGCAGCTTCCTTCTAAGAAGTCCTCCCTGGTCCCTCCACCCCCTTGTGCCCGCCACCGAGGGGGGGGGAAGGGGCAAGGGGTGCAGAGAGGGGGAGTCACCGAATGCGTTCCACTACTCGCAAAGTGTCTACCCGCAGACGCCTGAAAAAGCACATCTTAGCTTCGATGAAATGTATTGTAGATCCCCCGCGGCGGATCCAGGCCATTTGCGAGTGGTTATTTGCGATTCGTGTTTTCTAGCCTCGGGATGCTTGCCAGCAGCTACCCCTCGCCGAGGGCGTTCGGGGGGTGCCGGGATCGTTTCGAAGGGCCACCGGAGACCCGAGGTATGACCCAAAAACCAAATTCTGCGGCGCGCCAGGGGGGAAGTGAGAAGGAGAAGGCCTTCTCAGAAGGCGGCGGGACTTCTCAGAAGCCCTCGCGCTTTCTGAGAAGTTTTGTCTGTGTCTTCGGGGAAGGCCTAGAAAGCTTCTCAGAAGGCCAGGGAACTTCGGAGCCTTCTGACAAGGCCCGCCCCTTCTCACTTCCCCCCGGGCGCGCCGCCTACAAGAGGCACTCAGGAGACAACCAGTCCTGAGATCCGACGCTCCAACAGCAACAATTGGAGCGGCGGGATTGTGGCAGTTTCGGGCCTCTGGGAGCCCTCGCGTGAAAAAATGTCTCGGGATGAGTAACTGGCTCCAGGAAGGTGGTCCAGACCTCCTGGGGCCCACGCATCGGAAAAGTTGGCGCAGCCAGATGTCTGGGAGTAAGCATGCAAGAAGAGTCCCAGATGCGACGCGGCAGCCATGCAACATAATATTTGATGATAGGGGAACGAAGAATGACACAAACATAAAAACTCGGAGGTCCGCGCAACAGCAGGCCGCACGGCCGCTCACCCCCCGCGTGCTTTTGGCTGTCCCCCTCTTCTCTCGTCCGACCCAGGAAATCGCACGCCCGCCGCCGCCCTCTGGCTGTGCTCCTCCTCCTCCTCCTCCTCCTCCTCCTCCTAAATGCCGGGCACGATAGTAAGAATAGAGAACAGTCAGGGGACGAGGAATAGTCAAGAATAGTAAAAAGTCGTGGCGAGGAATATTCAAGAACAGTAGAAATAGTCTTGGGACGATTTTGCGAGCATTTCTTTTGACCATTTTGGTGTATTTTTCGTGCTTCTTTGGTGGTTCGTCCAAACTTCCCCTGAAGGAGGACATGCCTGACCTAGTCCTACTCCTCCTCGAGGCTCCCGCTCCTTTTCTTCCTCCTTGCAGGGTCGATTTCGATCTGTCGATTCGATTCGATATCGACTCCGGTGTGCCTGAACCGATTCGGTTCATGCGGCCTGTTGCTCAGATGGGCGCGGTGGTGCATCCTGCCGCGACCGATCCGATTCGATTTCGACTCCGTGCCGATGCGGCCCGATTCGATGCACATTCCGATCCGAATGTCTTGATCCGATGCTGATCGAACCTGCCTCCTCCTGCTGCTGCTGCTGCTCCTCCTCCTCCTCCTCCTCCCCGTTGGCGAGAAGGAGTGTGGGGAACCGCATGGGATTGGCGGAGTGGGGATGGCCAGTCCTGTGAGCGTTTCGGGGGTCATGCGGCTGGGGTGTCTGGGCGCAGTCTCCCGGCAGGCTTGGGGCCGTATGCGGCCGACCACTATCCCTGTTGGTTACCTGCTTGGGCTATCCCGGTCCGCTCCCGAGGCTCTCGCCGGCCTCGGGGCATCTCGGGAGGTTGTGGATTGTGTGTGTGTGTGTGTGCGTGTGAGTGTGTGTGTGTGTGTGCGTTTGCCTTGAGGGGGGGATACCTGGAAGTGACTGGAGCGCTGCCCCGTCAAGCACTACTTACCAAGCGACCCCCACCCAACCCGAAGGCCATAGGCCGAAGAAGAGAAAGCGCCAGATACCTCCACTTTTGGCGCTCCGCGCGGAGCTCTTGGAGAGAGGTTGAAGTAACAAATGAAAAGGTCCATGAGTGTTGCAATCAGTTGCCAAAGAAATGCGGAAGGCAAATGGTGCGCTTCCTTTGGTTGTGGACGGGCGTATGGTGCCCATCCGAGAGGCCGATTGGGGCCTCATCCCAAGAAGAGGCCCATGACGGCCACGACTTGGGTGCGGGATGCCATTTGGTGGCCCCCCTGTGCCCACCCCGTCCCGCTCACAGGGTCTTCACATCCCCCGTATGGTGGTGGGATGGGTGAGCGGTCCGCCTCCCCCCGGGCCGCACGTACTGCCCCAGGTTCGTGGGGATTTGAATTGAAGCCTATGAAGAATCCCGTTCCCTCCCTCTCCCTTCCCGTGGGGTGCAAAATCCCGACGAAGCCCCCCACGGAAGACCCACCCCCCAGGGGAACGAAAAGAGTTGACTTCAACCACAGGGGGGTCACCTGTGACAATTATTGCCGGGGCAGACGGCTGTATCACCGCAAGCCGGAAA